TCTCTCTCTCTCTCTCTCTCTCTCTCTCTCTTTCTCTCTCTCTCTCTCTCTCTCTCTCTCTCTCTCTCTCTCTCTCTCTCTCTCTCTCTCTGTGTCTGTGTGTGTGTGTGTGTCCGTGTGCGTGCCTGACAGATTTTGGAGAAGAGCGTGAAGTGCACCCTGTTCCATCGTCCACAGAAGATACATTCACCTCACAGTCATGGCAGGAACGTTTTAAGCCTTCCAGTTCGGTTGGCTCATCGTAGTATTACAATAATTACGGCAGAAGCATGTTCGTAAAATACCAGAGTATTTGCTCTTCGGGTGCCTGACCTCCTCAATCTTGGCTGTTCAAGCCATGTGTCGTTGCTCGAATCGGCAGGCAAAACCATTGGGCCTGTCTGCTGTCATAGTGTTGCCTGATAACTCTCCAAAATGTTGGTGGCGGAGACGGGGGATTTGGAACATATCTCATAGCATTGACGTTTTACTGAATTGACGTTGGTTAGTGTGCCTCGGCCCTTCTGGCGTTCTTGAGGCTACACACACTTGTCGTCATGGTTTATATGCTTAACCACATGTGCAACGGCTTGAAGCAGCCTCTGGTTCGAGGAAGGCTATATCCCATCAGCACCATCATTGATGAATTGAAAGAGGAATACCTTCCCAGTGCATTCACTCCATTCCTGATAAGTGAGTATATACTCGGGAACTACGAAGGACATTGTCCTGTCTAGCCGAGACCCATGTGGTGCTTTCCTGCTCAGCTGAGGGAGTATGGAGGCCTTATTCCTGCAATGCCAATGGAGCGATTGCCACGTGTCGCTGCTGGACAATAGATCACAACGGATCTTCTGCAGCATAGATATGCGCTTTGCGCTCGATTGCGCGGCCCTGTGAATCGGAGGTGGTCACGCCTTGGTATGTTACCTAGGGCTGTTGTTGCTGGCATGTGAGTTTTGCTCGCATATTCTGCTCCATGCAGATTTCTGTGGTGGTCTTCCAGCTCAAAAAGAAGAACATTATGGTTTTCGGTTGCTTGTGGCCCTGATGCGTAGAGGTCTTTGCTGTGGTGCTGCATGGACCTCTAGTTCGGGTTCTTGTTGGCTTACTGACACGTGGTTGGCCTCTGTTGCAAGTATTTGTGGCCTCCTACCTACTAGCAGGCGAGCAATTTTGCTGTGTATACTCTCTCATTAGTGTTTGAGGCAGGTTTGTCTGAACCGAGCGTGTCTGATTCTATTCTATATAAAGACCTGGTTCTCACGTAAGTGTACATGTGAAAAACGTGTTCTCTACAGAGGCAAGGTAGCACGTAGAGAGGAGCTACTAGTAGGACATTCTGATCCATTGATCTACCTGCCTGCTGGCGCGAAACCGGGAATGTGTCAGTTTCATTCATGCGTACTAGAGAGGTCTGAACGACTCCAGGAGGTCAGACTTGGGTGGGAATCATAGCAAAGCTAGAGCAATATCAACAGCACTTGGCAGAGGGTTGATTGGAAGATCAGATGCCTCATTGGGGGAAGTGACTGCACTCTTTCTTCCTGTGGCACTTTGCCAGAAACACGTTTCACATGGATGTAGTTCTGAGGACACCTTCAACGGATTTTCCTGCTTTCCTTGTTTCAGCAGCGAATGGATTTGTCGGTCTTCCGACGGACGCAGCAGACATGGCGGTATCACTTTTTATCTTTGCAATGGAGGGGGCCGACAACTGTTTTTTTGAACTTTTGCATCTGATGACCATTTTGCCAAGATGGCATGTTGAGCAGTCACGGTGATGATTGTAATTCACTGTGGGATAACGGTGGGCAGCGTGCGGCTTGGATTACCTGTCTGCAGCTGGTTGCACCGGAGTTGCAAATCGAAGGGACTGTTACACGTCATGGAACTTGGTGAGCATCAATCAGTGCTGGAGCCATTACCACTGAGTCTGGGGTTTGTTTGTGTGATTCATAGGATGTGGCTGATGAGTTGTTGCAATAGAATTGTAATTTGGCCCGTGGAACGTGTGTCTATGTGTATTCGTTTCGTGTGGGGGTCTGTGCAGGCAGATGAGACAAGTAGGACCTGTTTTTTTCTTTTCTTTTCTTTTCTTTTCTTTTCTTTTTTCTTTTTGTTGTAGGCTTATGGCACCTTTTTGTTTCTCTGCCTCTTCTACAGTAGGAAGAATATCACGAGTTTCAAAACGCCCTTCCTCGAGCAGGGGCGTGTCATGTGGAAGGGCCGGTGTTTTACAGAGCAGGAAATCCGTCAAATTCATTGACGGGTGTAGTCGTTGCACAATTTCGGCTGTACATGTGTGGAGGGAAGAGGTACTTAGAGAGTACTATGGCAGCCTCTTAGTAGTCAAGGTCGAGGGAAAGTGATGAGCTGCGGCATGCACACATGATTGCCAAGAAAAGCAGAGTGCCAAGAAAAGCGAAGCAAGCTCTGCTAGAGCTTGTAGTCGACCAACGAGTGAAGGAAAATGAGGGGTTAGACCTCTGACACGCATGATGGGGATCGGACTCCCACGTTCGGATTTCTTTCATTGCTGGATGGTAGTGTTTGATCTTTTATCCGGTTGGTATCGCTAAGACGTATGAGCCGGATAAGCCCTGTGAAATGTATGTTAACACGTCCACCACTGGATATAGTGAGTCAGAGGAGCGAATGGGAAGGACCCTTGGTCAAGTAGTGTGCATGCCCACATGCAGAAGCTAAGATGGTGGAGAAGCAACCTGTGTGTAGAGAGAGAGAGAGAGAGAGAGAGAGAGAGAGAGAGAGAGAGTCAAGTGGTAAACAGAGTGGTTATATTTATGAAATTATGGCAGCGGGAGGGAACACCAGAGCAAGTAGACGGTGTTAGTTCCCCAGAACCATGCGGGTAAGGCTGTTGCGGAGGTACTGTTACAAGTTTTTGGCGACTGATGTGAGAGCGCTGATGATTTTTATAGCTTCGGCTGAAGGACTGCGAGCTGGTGGAAAATGGGGATGAGAGAGCTTGTGATGAAGGAAGACTTGATGCACGGAGGGTGGAGACGAAGAAGGCATGAGAAGGTAGTGGTTGGATACTTTCCCTGCGATGAGGCAATGGCCAAGTATGGACACCGTGGCATTTTGCCTCCTGGTGAGCAGGACGAGTGGAAGAGTGGCCCAAGTCATTTGAGGGAGAGATGGGAACGGTGAGCTACGCAGCTGGAGGACTTCGACGGCTTCTTGTGTAGGGAAGGGTCCGCTTTTGTGTTCCTTATTTGTATTCTTTTTCGAGAGTGATTAGTAGCGCACGCAAGGCAGTACATTGATGATCACAGTATTAAGTTACTAACTTACTATTAACCTTAACCTTCATCTGAATTTCATCATTCCTTTGATTACGCAGATGGTCCCTTACTTATTCACAATGGAGGAAATTTGTGCGGAAGAGAGGGAACAGACTTTGGTACTTTACAAAAGAACGTTTATTGCGTCGTAACGTTTGCTGACGAGTTTGTCAGGATAATACTTTGTCGTTCCGGTTCCTGATGGGTACTTCAAATAAATGCGCACCATATCAGTGGAGTGTTCCGTTGTGTGTGGATATTACTTTGTCGTCCAAGGATTGTGAGGTGTCTTGTTCACATACTAATAATGTGTTCGAATTTTGAACTTTGAAAAAAAGGGGTGACTGCGTCCGGGCATCCCTTGAAAACAACACATCCCCACCCGACCCTAAAGCTGGGTTGTATATGTTCAGGATTTTCCTCGGTTTGACACAACATTGGCGAAATCGTGACTGAAACGCACGTTCACAGCGAAACCGTGACAGCGCCCTACTGTAGTTATCCCTTGAAAAACATTCCAGCCATTCTCAGAATTACTGTAATTAATTGTACCTGAGGTAGAAAGTGGACCTTCATCATCAGGAGCAGCACAGTGTCGAGAAGATTATGACCGAAAAAAAAAAAAAAAAAAAAAGGAAGAAAGGATTTCTTGGTATCGGACCAAGTCCCAGCTGTATGGTACTATGCCTTTGCGAGGAAAACATTAACTAGATCATAAAAGCAGCCAGGTCAGGTCTATGCTAGCGGAACACAAACATAGCAGCAGTGGGCTTGACGTTCAAACCCTCAGAGCAATGCCAATGTTTTGAGTTTTTCGGAACTTTTCTTTTTGCCCATGGGTTGAATTGCATGTGCCACCGTTTTTTTTTTTTTTTTTTTTGTTGAGAAAAGCATGTGCATGTGACCTTGTAATTCCATGTTTTTGTGCTGGAGATTCTGTCACCGTTGTATTTAATTGTTTTCCCTCCTGGGCTCAGGGAAAAAGACGGAGCTATCCTGCTTGGCTACAGTCTTCACCCGAATAGAGCCCCCGGTCATCATTGGTACATCTAGACTGGAAGTTGGCCGAAATACAGCTGTAATGACCAGGCGTTCGTTTTTTTGTTCTTTTTTTTTTTTTTTCTTTCTTTCAAACACAGGCTGTAGTCTATTGGTGGGGAGCTGCACCTGCTGGAAAACGGGTCCAGCGTCCCTCGCTCACAATATGGTACGAACAGAAAGTCAAGTAACAGCCCACTCCCCTGCCGCTCTAGATCTAGATGTTTGCAGGGGGGGGGGGACGGGGCAGAGAGCCATGCAGTGGGCTGCTGCCGCACCTCTCCTCTCCCAGGGTAAGACTACCGGTAGTGGCCCGGAAACTGACCCATGTACCCACCATCTGCAGTCACACGTTAATTATAGGCTTACCGCAGTGAGGAAGGGCCTTGGCTCCCCCTGCTCTGTTCCAGTCTCCGGGCGTGTCTCAACTCCCTTACCACTCCGGCTTTCGACGCTTAGATCGTCCCATGCACCCATCAACACCCATCTTGAAGCACCCCATATACCCCACATGTCTCCCACCCTCTCCTCTTCATCGACCAAATCTCATCCGCTCATGCACACCCGCTCCTCCTCCCCAATAACTCCCCTCCCCTTCGCAGATCCCGAATGCGGTCTACTACACACCTACCCCCCGCCCTTCGCACCCCCTAATAACATCTACCTACAAGGCCCGGCCCGACAGCCGCTACAGTACACTATCTACTCTCCACGGCCTCTTTAAGATCCTACTCAGTCCAACTCCGGGGCAAACTGCTGGAGCAGGGCCCGCGGGCCCGAACGTGAACTTGCCCATGGGTGTATACAGTTGCCATCTTCTCCACAACTGGGGTGCCGCATTCCCGGCCTTCCTATTCTGTTGTAGCAGGTCCACCAGCATGGCCATTTTCAAAGTTTCCTTAGGCCCACCGTTGTGACCTGCGTACCTTGCCTGGTACATTCATTACTCATGGTCCCCATAGCCCAGAGCACCACTTTCCCCGGATTACCTCGGCCGCACACAACTGCCTGTCCTGTCTCTGCACCCACCACCATCAACGCCCCTAATAAGATTGAGGCGTCGTCGTCATCCGTCACCATCCACGAGAGGGCTCTCTCGCAGTCAACTCCCACCATCTCCAGAATTCTGCCACCACTGGGTAGTGCACAAAGAGATGGGGGATAGTTTGAGAAGGGGGGCTGGATTGCAGGTGTTAGATGGGATGGAAAGCTGGCCCAGGGGTGCAACCAGGAGGAGTTCAGGACTGAATGGGCAATGCACAGCCACGGAGCGGACTGGTACAGTTGAATGAATAAATGGAAAGCTGGTGGGGTAAAGAAGTTGGTTGTGACAGAAAGGGGATGGGAGGAACTAGGGTGTAGCAGCAGGTATCTGGCACCAGGTTCATGGTGAAGAGCTTTCCCCCCCCCCCTCCCCTCCCCCAACCACCACCAACATCCTGCACAGTCAATCCCCTGGACTCCAGGGTAATCAATGCTGGCAGGTATATTCCGCATCTCCTGTTTATGATATGGCTCGAATTCTGTCCATGCTTAAGGGACGCTGGACCCGGTTTCCATCAGGTGTCGCTACCCACCAATAGATGGAGTCCCCCCAGGTGTTAGTGGTGGCTGCTCTAATCAGCACCACTACCACTGACGGAAAAAAAAAAAAAAAAAAAAAAAAAAAAAAAAAAAAACCTTGCCCACAGCCCGGGGCCGCACGTAGCTACTCCTTATACCGCCTCCCTCCCTGCGAGCCACTGCGCTGTGGGGACTAACTGCCAAACACGGTACAACTGCCACAGCAGGCCAGCCTGTTTCTGATCCGGCAGAGCCTTTAGGATCGCGCACTGCTCCTTCCATTCAAGTTTTGGTGTGTCCTTATCGGGACGAACTGCGAGGGGATGCTGTTCCTTTTACAAGGTAACAACTGTAATCAAAATACAAACTCCTCCCATGTGACAAAATCATATTCGTTGGTGCAGAAGGTTTGAACAAAAGGAAACTGAAAAAGAGAGAAAAACAAAGAGCACAGCAAAAAGACTCTCTCGCCGATTTTGTCAAAATCAATGTGGCAGAGGCTCGCCAGCACTTCCATTGTCTGCGCCTCTGCCGTACTCTATCGGCTAGTGCTCTAGGTCCGATGACTCCAAGCAGGAAGTTGTCTGCATAGCGAACATAGTGAATCCTTCTAAAATGACTCTGGTGAGCTGACGAACGCGAGGGCCAAAGGCACAGAAGCCCGAAGGTTCAAAGGCTTTGGTACAATGGACCGCCAAATATTGACGAGTCTTCTGCATAAGAAGATTCAAGAGGATAGATTCTTGACTCTAGTGCGAAGGCACCTGTATAAGATAAATCGGCCTCTTATACGGCCGGTTGCTTTATCGAAAGACGACCACATTGGTCAGCCCTTCGGGCCTCGTGTCCCATGTGGTACTTCATGAGCTTGAGAAATTTGTCATGCGACTGAAAGAGCATTGCCAATAGAGGGTCGTCGATAGAGAGGGTATGCCCCGCACCACCTATTTCTTATCTCTTCAGCATTGTCTATCCTGGGGAGGATCGCCCTGTAGATCTTCTTCGTAGTAAGTTGCTGCAGCGGAATACCCTTATTACCATGGTTCGGGGGGGGGGGGGGGGCCCATTCATGGGGTTCCAAAACTAGCTGTCGCGAGGCAAAGGGTAAAACCACCTCCTCACTCCCACTCCCACTGTTTTCTCTTATACACATCTAGATGTGTATAAGAGACAGTTCATGGGGTTCCAAAACTAGCTGTCGCGAGGCAAAGGGTAAAACCACCTCCTCACTCCCACTCCCACTGTTTCCTTTGCAAACCAACACCAACTCCACACTGGGCATATCTAACGCCAGCTCATGGTGCAATCCATCTTCCCCAGTCCCCATCAGGGGCAGTCCCAAGCCCTCATACCCCATTTCCACCACCCATTCTGCAGTGTCCGCGTAGTCCACTCTGCACCCTTTCCAGTCTGTACACAATACGGGGGCAGCACTCCCCCTTCTTCTCACCCAGTTCCCTGCCTAGAAGCCCTGCCCCTTAAGAATACCTACCCACGGTGGCGGGTTCGCCCTCCGCAGCTCCCTGAGTCTCTCCTGTCTGGAACTGCCTAGGCATGCAGCTCACCAGATCCTCATCTGGTCTCCAATCCTTTCTGTCAGTGTCCCATAGATGCCCGACCTTATATGTTCCTTGCTCGGCACGCTGTCCGCCAAAAGCTTCCACCCTCGTCTGCCACGGGTATGGGTCCTTTGCCTCTATTTGGGTGAATAGTACCGTAGTTTGAGATCATGTTCAACGGTGGTCCCCAACTCCAACCCTCTACCCTCTATGCCGGAACTGAGGTTGCCTCTCGGTTGCCTCTCAGTTGCCTCTCGGTTGCCTCTCGATGCTCTCATCCACGGTGACAGCAATGCACAACGTTTGCCAGCAAGGTGGAGAAGCTGGTGAACTGCCTATATATATTTCGTCACACGGATGCCATCCAGAACACGACAGCGGCATACTCACCGACAAGGCTAGCGCAGTTGGTACACCCACGAACTGTTGAAATAGAACCCGAGTTCAAATCCTGATGCAATCGGATGAACAAAATAAAAGAGTTTTTTGACAATGCCTTACTCGAATAGGGTTGTGAGTGGATCGCTCCGGAAAAAGGAGCTATTCCGGAGTCAGGGAGAGAGAAGAAGAAAGAAGATGATGGAAATCACAGCTGGAACTCTTCTCAGTGCCGACTCTACAAATGCCTCACATCAACAATGGAGGCGAAGTCAGGAAAGTTGAAGGAATTGTATTACTCCCAACTTCTTCTGCGGGGCAACGGATCAATAGCCAACGTCTCATGATGTATACTGCCGTATATCAAAAGGCTAAAACAGCGCACTTTGTAAAACAAATGAGAAAAAAAGAATCCCACAACGTAGACGGTACTGAAACCAGTCTTTCTCTGGACATTTTTCGTGGTTTCTCTTTTGTTTCTTGTTTTGGCTACCCATTTACTGTGGCTGTCAGGTACGAGGCTCACCACGTTGATGCTTGTTGTTGAGAGAGAGAGAGAGAGAGTCGCCTGCATCCCCGTGTGCCATAATGGTCGACTTGCACGCTGTGGAAAGGGAAAGCGAAGAAAGATGGAAGGAAGAAGATGGAGGAAAGCAAGGAGAAACGAGGGAGGTAAAGGGAAGGAAGACCACGGG